ATTGCTCATCCACTTGTTCGTGATCAACTTGTGAAATATATTTATAATGGGTTCTTGGTACCTGTTCTTGGAGCTGCTCTCCATCAGGTATAGTGTTACATTAATTTTTTCATTTGTGTATCTTTAAAGAGAAAGAAAAAAGAATACATTGATTTCTATAGTTCTTTGGTAATGAGAATCTGTTACTCAGATTTCCTTATTAGTGTATCAACTGTGAAGCCCAGTAGGAAACGTTTTTTGTGGGTCCCCACATTCACAGCCAAAGTATGTAGAATCTAATAATTTGCTTTACTATATATTCTTTCAATACAAGGCCAAAGAGCCACTCAAGGTGGAGGGTTAATAAATATGGTTGTTGTAAGAGGAAGATATAGAGGATAAATAATGATTGATCCTAGACTTTCAAGTCTAGGATCAATCATTACAAAGACTAAGATTGTAGTGATCAGGATGTATCTTCTCAGGAGTCTGTTCCACAAAGTAACAGTTCTTAGGAAGAAGTTGTCTGAGTGGAACTTCTTTCTTAATAATGGAATACAAAAGAAATGAAGATGATTTGATCCTGTATATGGGATATGGCAGGTCCTGCCTGTGAAGGTCTGGACTTGTAGAACTAAGGAATACAGCATTTCACATGGAAATAGTGATAGAGTACCAATAATCTTTCAATGTTTCATCTGTGATAAAGGGGCTGAAGGGATGAAAATAATTTACCATTCACAAGACTGTGTAAATGCTTTTGAACTCTGTCATGGCTGAAACGTGAGGATTGGGCAACTCCAGTCAAGATGTAACAACAATATTTTAGGTTTGATCTGTCTTTTGTAAAAATAGAGCATGGCAGGAGGAAAGGATATAAAAACAGAATAAATAAAAGTATATAAAACAAATTATGGCTGATGTTAACCTCCAGAAGAATGATTCATTGCACCTTCTTGGGCTAAAGTTTTCCACTGATATGAAGTGGAAAGATTATATTGAATCAATTGCTAGGTTTCCTAGTTGGTTTGCTGTGTTGTTCTAGACAATCTTACATATTTATAAGTCTACTATTCATCTATACATTGAATATTGCTTCCTATAAACATATACCTTTCCTATAAATATTTTCATAGTAATTGTTCTGGTGAGAAGCTTTCTTCCTTGGTACTTCAACTTTACGATTTCGGTACTAGATTAGCAGCTAGGTCTCATCAGTTTAAAGTTGAAATTGCTAGATGCAATCATAAATTTTAAGATAACAGTTTCTTCTCTTACACTTCTTGTTTGTGAAACATTTTTTTGGCTTATTGCTTTCCAGTCAACTTTGATCTTCAAAAATTTAAATTTAATGTCAATCATTATCTCCTGTTTTCTTAATTTCTGTTCTGTTATTGTTCTCTTTTATTTAATGTTGTTGTTTTCTCATTATTTTACACTCAGTAAGTACTTTGCACCTTAGTGGCTTTATTGCCTTGCTTGTGTTGAAATAATTAAAAAAAATGTTTCTATGATAAAATGGAAAGCAATCAAAATGGATGTCTAAAAAAAATATTAATTTAAGTACAATAGATAAAATTGAAAATTTAAGTAAACAATACTGATTTTTATAAATTTAAAAGAAATTTAATATAATTAGTGTTTTCTGTAAAGCCTACAATGTGTTGTATGTATTTAAGAAGACTTAAAAAGATTAACCTAGAATGGAACTCTATTAAGAGCAATGGGTTCAATTGGCTTAAAGTTGGGTCCATGTAAAAATGTTCACTTTTATTACCTCAAAACTGGTTACTCTTTAGTCCTATAGATTTAATGACACACATATAATTCTATCTTTAATTACTACTCACAAGACTGTGTAAATGCTTAATTAATTAAAAGAAAAACATCTTTGGTTCAATAACCGTAAAAAACATCAAAGACGGCAACAACAATTTACCTGTTGCTGCTCACTTCAACCAACTGCTCCTTAGCATTGATGGCATCAGATGCATGCTTTTAGTGTCTTCATTCAATAGCCAGCAAGAAAGATGCAGATTGAAGTCAAAATATATTTTCAAAATATTACATTACAGGATTAAACAGTTTTGGGTTTACTCAGTGTGCCTGAAAATTGCAACTTTAAAATCTTTCTCTGTGTTTCAGTTTAGTCAAAAGGCTAATATATAATAAATATCATCAATCTTATTGTCAATATTGTTATCATTATTTTGTCTTTTTATTCCTAAAATTTCATTAACTGGCCTATTAAATCTACATATATAGACACACTTAATTAAAAACTATCCTTTTAGTCACCGTCTGTTACTTTACTTTGAATTTACCAACTGGATTATTTTATGTGTTTCTGTAATTATGCTGTAGTGATATCAGTAACTATTAGTGATTGTGTTCTCACAGATAAGTTGATTGAAGTTATTATCTTTAATTATTATACTGCGACTTAATATATTTTCAATCTATTTCCTTTTTGCTTTTATAAAATCTAGAAAACCTGACAATTAAGAGCCTTTTCCAACTTAATACTTTTAAACAAAATATCTTTTAAAAGCTGCTCATATCAATATAGTACTAAAATATTAATTTTAAAGACCCAATATTTATTTTTTTTATTGGAAATATTAATATATTTGAAAATTTTTGACATTCATTATCATTCCAAAATTTTTTCAGACATTTAAACATTTTTTATGCCATCTCATCAGGATATAAGCATTCATAACTCATCAGTTTTATTTTTTATTATCTGTGATTTGTCATGACTTCTCAAGAAAGATAAAGCAGTAGTGTGCCATTACTTTCATCACAGTTTTCAATTTAGAGTTATCTTCCTTTTCATAGGCTGATTACCATCCAAAGCTAAAGATTCCAGTCTACTCTGTTATTTAACCTATAACTGGGGGTAGGGTGAAGAAAAGATAGATTTATTTTTATATATTTTATATATATATATATATATATATATATATATATGGAAAAACAAACAAAAATCCTAATATGCAATTATGCTGTTTTAATGTTAATATAATGTCAATGTCTGACGTTTCGGTCTAGTAGACCTTCTTCAGGACATATTCATAAAACATAATTAACATTAGACTATATTCAATTCAACATGAAAAGACGATGGACATAAGAGTAAAACTAATCAAAACAGATAACTGAAATTTTTAAGATTCAGTTATCTGTTTTGGTTAGTATTACTCTATGGTCTATGTTAATTATGTTTTATGAATATGTCCTGAAGATGGTCTATTAGACCGAAACGTCCGACGTTGACATTAAACATTAAAACAGCATAATCGCATATTAGTATTTTTGTTTGTTTTTTCAGTATATTTTTCTTCATACTGTTGGATCTATATCTATATATTTCTTATATATATATATATATATATATATATATATATATATATATATATATATATAACCAGAATTTAAAATTGGTTCATGAATTACCTGTACTTTTTTTGTATTGTCTAAATTGTTTCCGAATGTGGAGTGGAAAATAATTTTGCTAATTTCATTTTCTAAATAACTTAGTCATTGCACCACTACATGCCCCACTTTTTTCTATGTTACAAAAGAATCATGAAAAGACTTGTTTAAATTTAAACACTAACTTTTCAGTTTTCATCTTTGATGTCTTTACTATCTGTTACCATTACCTCATAAACTCTAACACTAACAATAAAATATTCTTCAGCTACCTCTTGTCTTTTAAAAATAATTTGGTTACTTTTGCAAGATTCAGTGTTTCTTGCTTTGGATAATGATAATAAAATTATTGCTTTTGCATCTATATCATTAATATTTTTCCTTTCTTATTGATCTAAACTAAGTATTAAACTAAACTTTAATTTTTTACATTGAAGATTTTTAAATAAAATAAATCACTAAATATATTTTAAAATTCATGTCCTTTCAGGATGTAAGCAATCATTGCTTTTTATAGTTCTCTTTTCATTTTTTAAATATCTGTAGGTTGTGCATTGACATTATAGTAGTAGGCAAAGTTTAATAAATAAAATAAAAATATTTCTTAAATTCCCTGAAAATTTATCACCTATTTATTATCTCTTTAACACCTCATTAACATAAACACCAGCATTTTTATAGAAAAGTCAATCAGCTAACTTTGTTTCTGAAACCAGATATTTGGATAAGTAAAATGAAAGATTGAAGACCCTGTACCAAAACAAAGATAATCCTACATGCACTCACTACACTCACTGAACACTTACTATCCTCAAGATAAACCCAATAAAAGAGGGCTTTGGGGTTAATTTTCTCTCCCTTTTTGTCAGAAAGAGGGACAGGCTGGTTCATTCCTGAACCATCAAAGAACTAATCAGGATGATTGCTTGCTACAAAGAAAGAAGAGTCTCACTCTCTTCCTCCACCCCAACATACTATGAGCTATGAACTTCAATGCACTAGAAGAATATAATTTGTATTTACCAAAAAAGAAAATAAACACACTAAAATAACTTTTACTCAGTGTTCATTCATTTTGAATTTAAACCAACATTCTGTGCTAACCTCCACAATATGGTTGTTCATGGGAGAGATAGTAGAATGATTTCCTATTGCTTTCTTCATGATTTTGAATTCTGTGTTGTTCTTCATCTATACTGATTGACAACTGAGGCTAGATACCCACCTAGACCTAGTATTTAAGCAATAGCTTCATTAAATATTAAAAAACTATTCATATAAAAACTGGTTTTGAAGACCAACAATAAAAGGTGTAACAAATCAGTAAATAACTATTAACTAATTTATATTACCTTAATATGAAATGATAGATATTTTAAAATTCTTTTTTTTTTTTTTTTTTTAATGAATTTTCATTTGCTAAAATAATAAGTGTCAGAATCTAAATATTTTAAAATTACTTACACTTTCTATAAATGCATACTGCATGTGTCCCAAACTTTTTTTAATAGCAGCAATGGTTATTACCTGAAAGATAATTAAACATTTTCATAACAAAGGATGTTATATAAATTACATTTTTACTTTCAAAAGAACATTAATTGTATGATAATTCTGTTCAATTTGGAATTTGTTCATGTTTGTAATCCAGTCTTTTAATGCAATCAATA